AATTCCCCAGCCAGCATTCGCTGGCTGGGGAATTCTGGGAGTTGAAGTCCAGACATCTTCAAGTTGCCAAGGTTGAGAAACACTGCTCTAGACCAGAGAGAGTCAGTCCATTATTACTCCAAGGTATTTAGGATGAGAATTATAGGGGAGTAAGTTGTTATTTCAATAGATCTTCAGAGTTTCATTTGCTAGTTTATTGTTAAGGTGGAAGCATGTAGTTACCGTTTCGTTGGCGCTAGGAGTGACTCTCCAGTCAGTGAAGAATTTTCCCAAGGTTTTTAAGATCTTTGGACAGGAGACTGTGCCACTTCCATGAGATTTTCTTGTACTGCTATGGTCAAATCATCAGGGTATCCAAATTTGGATCCCAGCGTTAGACCACTTTATTCATCACAGCTTTATACTACTTTACAGAAGAAATGTGAGATCCAAGTTTGGTCTCTTTTAAAGAACAATGCAACCAACGTAAGACAGTTATGTAAGATCTGAAAATAGGGAAAAATAGAAAGTCGCCAAGCTCTTCTTATAAGATACAACCGGATTATTCTTACGTGTCACAAAGAAACTAGTAGTTCCCCCACCCCCACCTGATGATATTTAAATTCTTATTAGTAGTGTGACCCAGGAAAGCCTTTGATTGTCCTGCTGCAGGAAGTGTGTAACTTTCATCAGTTCCAGGGCCTATCAGTTCTATTGGACTATGCGGGGCACATGGAGGATTATACTCTAATGGTGGGTGAGGCCATCACCTATAGGAGGAAGTTTTTAGGCGCTTTAAGAAGTGCCTTAAACATATACAAGAAGGCAGTCCCAAAGGTGCTGTTTCAAAAAACAACTGGACTTTCTTTGTTTTTCCTTGAAGATGTTTCTCTTCTCATCCAAGAAGTTTCATCGGTTCTTGGATTGAGACAATCTGGATGACTAAGAATCTCCATAGGACCCTTAAGTCAATCATTCTGCCCCTTAAACTCCTCGCAACCACCCAGTGATAAGAACCTCAAATGGTTGCCTCTGCAACCACACTGAGAAGTTCTGAGTGGCAAAATAGGAAGGGTGGTGGGTCCATATGAATCCTATGGTCTGCCCTTTTTGCATCCTCCTCTTTATGGATATCTTTGCTGCGTGGCAGTAACTCCTGTTCCTTTCTTTATATCCATTCAGGGTGAAGCTGGTCCCACTGGCGCTCGTGGCCCTGAGGGTGCCCAAGGCTCTCGAGGTGAATCTGGATCCCCTGGTTCTCCGGGACCTGCAGGACCTCCAGTAAGTACTCTGGTTTCTAAAAACATGTTCAAGATCCAGAATCTTTAGATGATGTGACTATGGTTTAGTTCACACACAGGCAATCTTCAACCAATGGGTTGCATACAATCATTGGCCATTTTCTATTTAAGCAGGGAGGACATTTTTTTCTTGCTTTCTGCTTGATTAGGCATCAGCTGATGATTGGGAATAATGGCTGTACTTGCTGCTGTTAATACGTGAATGAGCATGCATATAGACTCAGACATAGTTTGCGGGAGAAATTACCCTGGTTTGTAATTGGCAAATGCTCCCAGTTTTCATGGAACTTAGTTTAGTGGTCTTTGGATGGAACACGAAAAAAAATCTGTCCATGCAGATGTATAGCTGTAGGCGTTTGTAAAGCCTCACCTGCCTTTTTACATTTGTGCAAAATTTATAAAAGGTGCAAAATACATATGCAAAAAATCCTATTCCCATTTTAAGTTTGCACAAGATGTATACTATGTACACATCTAAAATTTCTTTTGGATTTAACAAACATTCTGTTTTAACAGACCCTTCTTTGTTTCTATTAGTCTGCTAAATCTCACGTTTACTATATGTATCTAGAAACTTGTCCTATCATTTGGCTTCTGCATTCTAAATTAAATAAACCACTAGCAGTGTGCACAACATTTCAATGCTGGAATGGTGCCTTGTTTTTTTTGTTTTTGTTTTTAATCTGGTCCATCAAAGTCAAATGTTGTATGCAGAGACTGTGCAATGTATTTCATCCATTCTAGTTTCTGCTAACAGTTACCTACAAATGTTTGTACAAAAACCACCAGTTATGTACAAATTTGCACATATCATCTTCACTTACCCACGTTGATTTGATTATAAGAAAATAAAACATGCCTACAAATGAGAGGAGACACTCCCATTTGTTTGTTTCTTAAATGAGATACAAATCATAGTATTGGCAAGAATGTTGAAGAATTCAGGATAAGAACTGACAAGTCCACTCTCTTCATATTAGAAACTCCTTGAATCTTTGTAGGGACTGAGGTTTTAGGCACTTTGGAAACAAATTCTAATTTGTTTTATAAAACCATAATGGCAAGTTAAATTGTAATTGCAAATTAAATAACTGCCCATTTGATATTGTTTATTCCAAATTACTTTGACATATTTCAAGACGAGAACTTTTCTATCCATTGCTGTTTTGAATTTCTTCACCTTTATCAAACTATTGATAAAAGTGTACTGTCTTATATGTAAAAGTCTGTCCCCCCCTTCCTTTTTGATTGTGAGCCGCCCTGAGTCCCCCCAGGGAAAAGGGCGGCATACAAATAAATAAACTAAACTAAACTAAACTATTAGTTATGGTGGGGGAAGGGGGAAACCCTTATTTGATATAATGTCCTTCATTTAACAGCATGTCTGTGAATAGCCTGGGAAGGGAAAAAATATGGTTGTGACCAATTTTGTGGTTTAAGCCACCTGTTTATAATTCATTAGGGTAAGAGCCATTGCTCTCCTACAATATTATTCAATATATATTCTAATCAGAAGACATGTATAAGATAATTTTGTGGGTTTCAATTAAATTGCATTTTAGGAGTAATAAATGTGTTTAACACATTACTACAGTTTACATTTTATAATGAACTTTTATAACTTTGATTAAAGAGAAATAGTGGTTTACCAATAACGGCTTGCAATTCAGTAAAGTTAAGTGAACGATTTTCTTAAAAATCTGTGAAATGGCAATGATTTTTTTAAAAGGTATTTTGCTCACCGATTTCTTCTTGCTTTTAGGGCAACCCTGGAAGTGACGGGATCCCTGGTGCCAAAGGATCAGCCGTAAGTAGCATGTTAGATGGATATAAAGGCAGAGCTAATTGGAGACTTTGGAACACTTGAGGAGCGTTCACGGAATCTCTGGTCGAAGCTGCCTATTGAAATTCTGAACATCAGCCGTGATGTTTCTGAATAGCCTGCTGTGTCTCAGTCCACCTGCATTTCTCATTGCTAACTCTGGGTTTCTTGATTCCACTAACAGGGAGGTCCTGGCATTGCTGGTGCTCCTGGTTTCCCTGGCCCACGTGGGCCACCTGGGCCACAAGGTGCAACAGGACCTTTGGGCCCCAAAGGTCAGGCGGTAAGAAACAGATACACCGTGAAACTGTGACGTGCCTGGTGGTGCTCCAGATTGATGGCTCAGGATCCTGCCTCTTGCATCTGTTCTGGGGTGCCTTCATTCTGGGTGACTCATATCACGGGTGCTTCATTCTGAGCTTCTTTCTGGATGGCTTCTTCTCATGCTGATCTTAACTGGGATTTGGCCATGGATGGTTAAAGAACAATGCCCACCTTTTCATCAGCTTTGCCTGCCTACAGTAACTATTATAATGGTTGCCACTAGTCTATTATTTCCATAAAGTTCTATATGTGGACTTAAAAGAAGGGAGTGCAATTTTTCCCTATTTGATTGTTTCAGAGGCATTTGAAAGTGGTGAGAAATATATTTGAGTTTCTCCAAAACCTGGCAAGGCATTATGATTGATATTTTTTGCTATCCTTAGCAAAGGAGAGAGAGAGAGAGAGAAATTTCCTTTAATCCTCTGTATCTCTGCAATTAATAGAGAATTTGGGGGAGCAGAGGGATTTTTCACTTGGGCTGAGCATGTGGCCATCAGATAGAGAGCAGAAGATTGCTTTGCTTCAGTGATCTAGCATTTCAGTGCCAAAAAATGTGTGACAATATGAAGTATTGCTAAAAGAGCACAAGGAGATTTCAGAAAATGTAATTAATTCTCACTGTACGTGATTTACATTTTGGGAAGATGACAGCTGAAAACTTCAATCCTAAACAAACATACTAAAGAGGAAGCCTTCTTGAGCTCAAAGACTTCCTTCCTTCCGAGTTAACTCGCTTGGGATTGCATTGCTAGTCAATTAGAAGTGATAAGAAATATAGGTCTATGCTTTTATAAACTGATAAAAAAACGATAAGCTTTGGAGACTTGAATGAAAACCCACATGTTCCTAAAGAATTCTCCAATGTGAAATTATTGATCTTCTAGACATGCAGCTTATATCTAAAATGGCCTCTTTACTGAAGAATCATGATGTTTATGCAATATCCAACATCATGATGGATTTAAGAAGCTGTAAAAGATTATAGGCACACCCTGGAAAATTCATAAAAAGTATTATTAAAAAATAATTACTGGAGTGCATCATATCTAAATAGGGGAAATGAAGCCTATTTTAACAACAACAACAACAACAACAACAACAACAACAACAACAAGTGAGTTAGAGGCTGAACAGAACAAAACCATGGTTTGAGACGGATTCAGAAGACATGCAAGCACAGCAACCTTCTGCTCTTCATTGAAGACTTTTCGGCCTTCCACATGAGCCCAAGAAAAAGCTGCTGCTGTTTTGACAAACTCTCATATTAATGTGACTCTGTAAAATAGCCGTTTGCCTTTTTTCATAGTTGCATAGAAATCTGGGAAAAGCTGGGCTCCATTAAAAAAATTGCCAATAGATGTTAAATTCCCATTCATGCAAGTTCTGAAGCACTTCTGATTAAAAAAAAAAAAAGTACTCACAGCCCTATTTTAAACCTGTCCTCCACCATGAACAAGACTTTCTGGGTGACCATGTGAGCTTTGCCAGAGTCTTTAGCCATAGCAATATATTTTTGAAAACTTCCCTATTTAAAAAAAAATGCAGGAGAAGATAAGGAAGTCCAAATTGGTTCAAAGTAGACTCTTGGTGGTGGTATCCAAATAATTTAATAACTGGTTCTCTGCCTTAATGTCCAGCTGGGTAAGCGTGGCTTGCTGGTCATGTGACCATGTGGGAGTGGCCAATTAATGTCACTCAGGTCAACGGGTGCTTTGCCTTAGCTGTTACAATGTAACAAGGCTTAACCACAGAGGCAGTTTCTGTAAGCAGGACAACAAAGATTAGGCTAGAAACAACACCAGAATGTTTCCTTCCTGCCTTCCTTGCAGGATTAGCCCTGTAAAGTGGAAAAAAACAAAATGAGATTTCTTCCAACAACCGATTCTCCGAACTGCTTAGAAAGTTAACAACTGGTTCACCCGAATAGGTGCGAACTGGCTGAATCCCACCACTGGTCCCTCTTACCCATCTTTGGAACAAACCATTTGAAGACTTCCTGTCAGCAGATAATGCTTGTGGAAAATGTGCAGAGTTTTTTTATGGACATAAAGGGGTCTTTTCGGGAGAATTCTCCCCATTGTTGCTGAAGGAAGAACCTGTTCCTCACAGTTCTCTATAGGAATTACGATTGTCTGCCGAAAGTCTGCTAGAGTAGAAAATTCCAGCTTTTCTTCCACACTCTAATGTTTTCCTTGCCTCTTTGCCTACGCTTCCTGCCTTTTCATCTAAGAAGTCAGCATATTCTTTATTGTTAAAGCGTCCCCTGCATCTGATACTGCTTTAAAGGTTTTGCTGGTTTGATCAGTAGGTAGCCTAAAGTGATACAGATGTTATTCTATTCTCTTAAGATTTTTTCTTTCTATCTCTGTAGGGAGAGCCCGGAATTGCAGGCTTCAAAGGTGAACAAGGCCCCAAGGGTGAACCTGTAAGTAATTGATCACGTGTATGTCATTTTACGCTAGACTTGAATATATGCTCTCTTTTTACATTCCTTGTTAAAGTTTTGTTTCTACAGGAATCCTCTGATCTGGCTAGGGAATTTTGAGAGTTGTAATTCTAGCCCATTTGAAGGGCAACCATGGAGAGGAGTGTGTGTGTGTGTGTGATAATGTCATTGTTTAACATGCAGATATTACTGCAACTCTTCTGATAATTACAAGACTCCTTTAATACCGCTATGTTCAGAGAAGGCATATCATAAGTCATTGAATATTCAGGCTCCAAATAGTACTTGGGAAAAGTTTATTTTTTTCCCTGATCATGCACCTGCAACTGTAATTGCATTATTATTATTATTATTCAAATCCAAAAGTTTGAAAAGTGTTCAATACATTTCTTCACTATTTTTTCTGTTATTTCGTGAACAGGTAGCCTAATGTTCATAAAAATTAATATCTATATTTTCTCTGAGCTTGCTAGATTTTTATATAAGGATGTCTTTGTTTTCACAATCCTTATGTAGAGAAAATCAGAACAGAACAGAATAACAGAGTTGGAAGAGACCTTGGAGGTCTTCTAGTCCAACCCCCTGCTTAGGCAGGAAACCCTACACCACTATTAAATCAAATAAGTTCAGTTAGGACCAAATGTACAATTGAAATCTTCTACAAAATCTGGAGTTAACTGTGTAGCTTAGACTTATAGTTGTTGGATTTTTCAACTGGACAACAAAAATGTTATATTTAGCATAAAATGGGACAGATGCCAGCAGCAGTTAGGTGACTGCAATCCATTTTCACCACTCAGTCCTAATGTATGCCTAATAAGTAGATTGGAACCAATTTATGCCTTTTTATTACTAAAAAACCTTGGGCTGCTGGAACCATGCTACAGAAATCTAAATGGCCACTACACGGGAGCAAAGAGCTAGCAAGATATTTGCTATCATCTACTGGTCATCCAGATTTTCAAAGCCTGGGTCTGATAACCATAGAATAAGTGCCTGAATGAAAAGAATAATTTGTTCCTTTAAAACCACAAGCTGGATGCCGATAGGAATCTAAAACTTTGATAGGAGAGATGTGCTGCACACACAAGGTCCCAGATTCAGTTGTTTTATATACTCAGTTTAATGCCTAGTTAGAAAGGTCTGAGGCTGCTTATAAAGATCACCATTTGGAACCCTTGTAAAATTCTGTGCTTAAGACATATAAGAAGTTTGTTTGGTAGCAGAGCTGAAAAAGAACCTTGTTCTAGGACAGGGGTCGGCAACCTTAAACACTCAAAGAGCCACAAAGGTCCTAAAGGGAAGCCGTCTGTTCAATTCTGGAGCCGACGGAAGTCCAGTTCCCGCACCATAGAGTCTCCTCCTAGTGCAACATCCTTTTTCCTCTAACTGTCCTAACCGAAAGTTCTATCAATTGTCAAGCCGAGCGGCAACAGGGAGCTGCAGCAGAGGGATGAAAGAGCCACATGCGGCTCCAGAGCCACAGGTTGCTGACCCCTGTTCTAGAAAAGCACTAACAATATTGACCATGCATCTGAGTCATACAAGGAAGTTTCATTCGCTTCCCCTTCTTCCTTTCCCATTTGCTGATTGACTGTTTCAATATATGTCCTTTCTGTGTATCTGAGAGTGGCACCGTGGCTCAGTGATTAAGGCATTGGGCTTATTGGCTGGAAAGCCAGCAGCCCAGATATGAGATCTGAGCTGCGACGATGTAAGCTCCTGTCCTCGCTCCACCTCCTGCCAAACTAGCAACTTGAAAGCATATAAATGCAAGTAGATAAATAGGTACCACTTCGGTGGGAAGGTAACAGTGTTCCATGTCATAATGCTGGCCACAGGACTGCGGAAAAGTCTTTGGACAGTGCTGGCTGAATGGCCTTGAAACAGAGATGAGCACTGCCCCCTATAGCTAGCAATGATTATAGGGGGCTCCTGTGTATCTGAATCTTTCCATGAATAGTCTTTCTTCCAATATTCTTAATCAGGTTTCCAAACTTCTTAATCAGGTAGCCCTCTGTCGCTTCATAGTTATGACAGTGATGAAAAAGTAACTTTGCGACCAGTGCTTGCACTTACAACTTTTGTAGGTCTGTAAAGCAAAGCACAGTTGAGGTTTCACTTAGTGACCTCTTCATCTAATGACCAGGTTGCCAGTCCCAATTGTGATCATTAAACAAAGATTACCTATACAGTTTAAACACAGGATGGATCTGGATATTTGAAAATATGTTCAGAATTAAATTGCTTTCTGCCCAATCATAGGTACACCTTTGGAAATCTAGAGTTCTCACATAAACAGAGTAGGAGTCCTTTGACCAATAGCTGGGCTAAGAGAAGTGACAGACTGCCACTATGTACTTATTTCCTAACTTTTCAATTGGCCCGCAGATCTTATCCTGACTCTTAAAGTGTCACCCAATCAGTTGCTTAAAAAAGCATCCTTTTCATCCCTCAGCAAACCTAAAAGAAAATTGCTGGCATTTTTTTCTCTAATGCATCATGTATTTCTACATATGCATCAGAACACATCTCCTTTGTTTTTTAATAAAATCTCAGAGGTATTCTGAGGTGAAACTATGGAAGAAGAAGCACATTGTTTAAAAGGTACAAATAATTGAATGGAAAATCCTCAAAATCTTCTCACCCCTCCCAAAACAAAACAAAACAACTTCTCAGCTGTTTGGAAACCCCTAAATCCTGCAAGTCTAGCATTTCTGCACTTTGTTTCTTAAGCAGGTCACTATGTGAGAACTAGTAGACTAAGTGAGCCCAAACTCCCTCTCTCTGAGAGCACAGGGCTAATACCATATTTTCCGGCATATAAGATGACTTTTTAGCCTCTAAAAATGATTCCAAAAATCGGGGGTCGTCTTATACAGCGAGTATAGCCCAAACCCTATATTTTAACAGCAAAAGTAGGAGGTTGTCTTATACACCCAGTCGCCTTATACGTCAGAAAATATGGTAGTTAAGGCAACAGAGCTAGAAAGCACGAGACTGTGAGTTCTAGTTCCCTCTTAGCTATGAAAGCTCTCTGGGTAATTTTAGGCCAGTCACTCACTCTCAGGCCAACTCACCCCTCAGAGTTGTTGTGAGGAAAATAGAAGGAAGATGGAGTACTAGATATAATCACCACCTTGAGCTGATTATAAAAATAATTAAAGGATACACACACACTGTATGTGTGTGTAGTAATATTTATTGCCTTGAGATAGCATTTCCCCATCCCATGTCACTGGCATGGGAATATACCAGAATAACTTGAATTATGACATCATGGAGCTCTATTAATGAGACTGTACTTTGGCCTGCAAAGCTTTCCTTTTCCTTTGTCACTCACTCTTTCTGTCATTTTTTTTAAACAGAAATAAAGCCTAACTTTTTCTTTTGGTTACAAAATCTCTTTTGGGATGCATGGGGAAAACCATTTTATTGCACTGAACTCTGTTTTTTATTATTGATGCTGAAGCTGTGCCTTGGTCAACAATGATTCATTCACCAATTTATACATTGTTTTTAGATGGTTATAAATGGCCCATTGCAGGGTGGGCTTGCTCTGTGAAGTTCTTTAGTGCCATTTATATAAAATGTTTATTATGTAGCTCAACAGCCTTCATAGATAAAATGCAGTTTTGGTATTCCTGCAATTTAAGAGATTTTCCGGATTTTCCAGATTATACTGAACCATATTTTTATGTCCTTCGTTAATTTTAGATAGCATTGCTTTTTTGCCTAGCAACATCCAAAGGATGGAACTTAATTTTTGTCCATATTAAAAGTGTGCCTTTAATTTAAAAGCATCAGTGTTAACACTGTGTACCATGTGTATACTGCCATCTGAACAGCGATAAATGTTAAAATAGGATAAGAACTTTCAAAGGTACCAGTTTCTAGAAAACAAATCACTGGAATTTGATAAAGCTGCGATGCAAGTTTTATTTAGATGAATAGAGTGTAAGATGAATGGCTCATAGAATGTATGCTTCTAAAATATTTATCCCCATCAGATAACTAGAGAAACTCAAAGCTACAAGTTTTGTGAAAATAAATAAAGTAGCTCTTTCCATTTTCTCATTCTAATGTAAGCTGCCTTTTTGCTATGATATGTATACACGCGCACAGATAGAGAGACAGAGATAGAGGGAGAGGGAGAGGGAGGGAGATAGTTTACTGTTTATTAAATTTATAGGCCGCCCAATCCCGGAGGACTCCGGGCGGCTTACGGAAACAGAGATTAAGAGGGATTAAAAACAGATAAAACACGACAAATTTAAAAAGACACAACATGCACCCAATCTAAGCGGGGCTGGACCTCAATCCGGAGGTCAACAGCCCCAGGCCTGCCGGAATAGCCAGGTTTTAATAGCTTTTCAGAAGGCCATGAGGGTGGGTAGGGTCCGGATCTCTGGGGGTAGCTCATTCCATAGATCATTCATCCCTAGCTTTGATATTTAGGGATAAGAAGGCTGAATAATTTCTACCCGTCTCATAACTCCTTTTTCAAATATAATATCAGAAGGTTGATGATGGCCATCAATATTATTGGAGCTTTGAAACAAAATTACAATTATTGGCAATTTTATGCAGCATAACTTTTGAGTTCTATCTGAATGTCTTAACTAAAGTTTTTCACTTTAGCAAAGATTTTAGCCCAGGATTGGGGCAACAGGGGGACCAATTCTTGTCCTGCCCATCCATAACAATTTTTTAAAAAATTTAATCCACCTGGTACCATTGAAAATGGCACTTGAAATAGTGAAGATAAAAATGAAAACTCCCAGAAGTTGCCTCTCTGCCTTGCTATAGAGATTGGGTCACCTAAATTCTGGGCGAAGTTCAAAATGTTTTTCTAAAAATACAGTGACTGTTGATAGGTTTTTTGACATTATTGGATAAAAGATAAAGGAATACGAAAGATGTAACAAGGCCTCTTTACTGTTTCTCATCCCCAGGGCCCTGGGGGACCACAAGGAGCCCCTGGGCCAGCCGGCGAAGAAGGGAAGAGAGGAGGACGTGGTGAACCAGGAGCTGCAGGACCAATTGGACCACCTGGAGAGAGGGTAAGCGATATCATTTGCAGGGAGTAGTCCTCTATGTGGAATGTCTCTAGGCCAAGGATGTCAAACTCAAGGCTCACAAGCCACAACTGGCCCGTGAGATGCTTAGATCTGGCCCGCAGGACCGCCCTGGAAACAGTGAAGGACTGGCTCATGGTGCCTCTGCCAGCAAAAATGGAGCTCAAGTGGGTCACACGTAGCCTCCCCAATCTCCATTTTTGCAGGAAGAGGGCTGCAAGAGGCCATTGCAGGCAGGCTGTGCATGGCCTCCTTGAGCTCAGTTTTCACTGGCAGAGGGCTGCAGGAACCAATCACAGTTGAAAATAGAGCCTGTGCAGGCCACACACAGCCTCCCCAAGCTTCATTTTCGCTGGCAGAGAGCTGCAGGAGGCCATCGCAGCTGAAAATGGAGCCTCGATGAGTGACATCAAGTTGGCCACACCCACCCTGGCCACGCCCCGTAGCACCCTCCCCCTCTGAGGTAAAACACAATCCTGATGGGGCCCTCAATGAAATTGAGGTTGACATCCTTGCCCTACGCAATGTGGTGTCACGTGTGAACAACCAGACCCATATTGTAGATTTTAAACTAGCTGCTTTATTGTTCTATGCCTATTTCACAGGAATCATCCCAGACTAGTAGCTTGTGCCTGAGAAAGACCAAATAAGGCTCAAAGGCATTCAGGGGTTCAGATCTGTCCCTCTTTTGCTTATGTAGCAAATCTAAGCTTATTCCCTGCTTGAACCCTTCTCCCAACTGGAGCAATGACTCTCCAACAAGTGCTGTAAATTCCAAGCAAAGGATTAATTAAACTAAAGTTGGACGTTACCTAAAGTAGTGTCTTAACAGTTGATTGTCGTTTTGATTGAAGCTGTTAAAATAAAAGGTATCCCACCAATAGATAGTACAAGATAATGTCACGTTAGTGACACATAATTTTTGAGGCCATTGAATTCTAGACCCCAAAATAGCTGCCTCTTGATCTTTTAAAGATTGTAATGCAATAGCCCCTGAAGAGTGAACTCATGTTTAAGTGCAAAAATGTTTGGATCATTATGACACAGAAGATATAAAGAGAAAATCATATTTGGTCAGAGCTCTTGGCCAGAGTATACCACCCTTTGTTGCTGTTACTTGTTACATTCAGAGTTAATGTACCTTGCTCTAAGTGGCCATATTGCAATAGAAAAAAAATCCCCCTTACACACAAATGTATACTTCCATATACTCTCTCTTCTAGAAATCTAAGGGCATGGTGGTGCAAGAGAAGAATTTTATTGTTTCCATCCTTGTTTGCTTTGCCTGGGCTATTGAAAGGGAGAAATACGGGTGCCAATTCAACTTTTGCTTTATAGCACCTGTTGTGATATCCAAAATGCAGGAATTGGGAAGATGATAATGCCCAACGTCTTTCCAGTGGGGAAAATGGCCTGCCTCACATTCTGAAGAGTTCAGAGTTTTCCAATTTAAACCTTTTGTCTGTTGGGAAATAAGTTGGCTCTTATGCCAAAGGCAGATGCCAAATTGGCATCACAGAAATGTACATTTGGGAATGGCAGAAATGGAGGTGCCCTACTATGTAAAATGGTCTTAAGAGCCATCAAGGCTCTTCCCTTAGAACAGGTTATATTATTTAGATCCACACAAGGTATTTCTTGTGTAGAGTAGTTATATTGTTAGTGCACTCACCAGCGGTGATAGCATATTGAGGGTTCTTGCTTCTGCTGTGTCCTTGTTCTAAAAGAGCTAGAAGTGGTCCAGAGTTCCTGCTGAATCTTTGACAATGATGATACTGTCCTTAACTTTGACATTCTTATTTTTTGCTTTCAGGGTTCCCCTGGAAATCGTGGTTTTCCAGGTCAGGATGGATTAGCTGGCCCCAAAGTGAGTGTTGAACTTGCTGCCTTTTCACTGGAATAACATTTTTTTAAAAAAAATAGAAAGATGGTACTATTTTTTTTCTTTGTGTTCTTTTACTGTTTTTTTCTATTACTATTGACAAATAGCAATCTGAAGTATGAAAATGGCATTCTGTGTTTCCTTTAAAAGTCTCCTAGCTCGTGCATTCTTTCACAGAAAACATAGTGTGCACATTTTGGACATGCCATAAGATATCTTTAGAATCAATTGATTAACATTTTTCCTTGGAAAAATTTACCACCTCATCCATTTCATAGATGTATAGTGTTTGTGTGAGCAATCCTGTAGAGTTTTCCTTCCAAAATCCATAATTTACCAATTAGATTCGAGTGCAGAAAACGTGCATTTAGAAAGAAGAAACCCCAAATTTAGTATAAACTAAAGAATTGCCTTCTTTCATTGTCCTATGTTGTTTCATAAAGTTCTAGTTCTTTCATAAAGTTCTAAGTTCTTTCTTAAAGTTCTAGTTCTTTCATTGTGGGAGAACTAGTGTGGTATGGTAGCTTAGCCACTGAAGTAGGATCGAAGAAATCTAGGACCAGGCTCAGTCTTAGGGTCAGTTCATTGAGTAAATTTGGGCTGATCACTTCCAGCCTATCTCACTTATTTTGTTATCTTTGGGAGGAAAAATTGGAGGAGATAATGCCAAGTTGAGCTCCTGGAAGTAGGAGAGAAATTTAATGCCGGAATAAATCCATTTGTGGTTACTACGGTCCTTTGTAATTTAGCTTGAGGAGGAATTAGTTTACTACAGATGTAGGTAAATCATTAAGAATTAGGATGCAGATATATTGCAAGCTTAGTTTATCTTCTGCTCGCCCCTTCTGGTTTTTTTAGCATGTCAGAATAATTAAATGAGTTTTAAACCTCTTTAATATGTACAGGAAGTCCTCGACTTACAACAGTTCATTTAGTGACCATTCAAAGTTGCAACATCACTGAAAAAAGTGATTTATGACCAGAGGTGGTTTACTACCGTTTCACACCAGTTTAGGCGAACCGGTGGTGGAAACTGGGACAGGGTTGCCGAACCGGTAGAGATGGCAGGCTGACCACGCACCTGAACCGTTTTCCCGGTCGCCGCTGCCATTGCCAGCTTGGTTTTTAATCATTTTTTTCATATTCTGCGCATGCGCAGAACAATTTACACTCAATTGTACAAGCACGTGAAGTAAACTGGCAGCAACCCACCCCTGTTTATGACTGTTTTTTACACTTACAACTGTTGCAGCATCCCTTTGGCCACGTGGTCAAAATTCAGATGCTTGGCAACTGGTTCATATTTATGATGGTTTGCTGTGTTCCGGGGCCTCGTGATCCCCTTTTGGAACCTTCTGACTAGCAAAGTCAAGGGGGAAGCCAAATTCACTTAACAACCATGTTGCTAATTTAACAAATGCAATGATTCTCTTAACAACTTTGGTACGAAAAGTCGTAAAATGAGGCAAAGCTCACTTAAAAAACGTTTCATTTTAGCAACAAATTGTGGTCGTAACTCAAAGACCACCTGTATAATGTAGGTATGTCCAGAGTGATGGTAGGTTATTGAGCCAAATACAGATTCTCCTGGTGTTCTTCAGAAAATCTTTGACTAATGTATTTCTTGCCTAAATCTTCCTTAAATAGGGTGCTCCCGGAGAACGTGGCCCCCCTGGCCTTGGGGGACTCAAAGGTACCCCTGGAGATCCTGGAAGGCCTGGAGAACCTGGCCTGCCTGGCGCCCGGGTAAGATCAATGTGGAATTGAAGAAACCATATAAAAGAGATGCCCCCAAATTGTGAAGAAGTCTAGGTCAGTGATGGCGAATCTTTTTCGCCTCGGGTGTCAAAAGCACGCGTGCGCTCGTGTGTCTACCCCATAATTTAATCCTGTCCCTGCGCCGTGCACCCTGCACATGCGCGGGGTAGCAGGACGGGGTCACATGTGCATGCCCACAGTTTTCTTGGAACCTGGCAAGGGCGAAAACAGCCGCCCCCACTGGAGGCCCTCCAGAGGCCGGAAACGTTCCTGAACTTCCGCTTTACGTGTTGGGCCATTTTTCGCCATCCGGAGGCTTCAGGAGGCTTCCCTGAAGCCTCTGGAGGGCGAAAAACAGCCGAAAATCAAGCCCAAAAATCAGCTGGCCAGCATGCACACACTCGCTGGAGCTGGCAGGGTAATGCCTCCCATGCCCTCAGAAATGGCTCCATGCGCCACCTGTGGCATGCATGCTATAGGTTTGCTATCACAGGTGTAGGTGATTTCTGCATCACTGTGGAAGAATATCACTTAAACTGAGAAGACCTGTCTGCTTAGTATTGCTACTATTTATATAAGTGAATGAAGCCTGTTTATAAAGCATGTATAGTAATACATCTGATACCCAGCTGGTGTCAAGTAGTAGAAGACATTCTTTTTATGTAGAGAAACCAAAAGCATTCACACTGCTGTGGGTTCAGGTTGGGTTTATACGGATGGATTAAATCATCTCTAAAGAATTGGATACATTGTGCTTTGAGTCTCTATTTTTGTTTTTTAAAGGAAGGGGTTATGCAAACAGTCCTTGTTTTAGCACCTGCCTCGTTTAGCAAGCAATCCTCACATTTATGACCTTTGCAGGTCTGTAAAGCAAAGAAAAGCCGAAGTAAGATCATAAGCATAGTTACAGTTCACTTAGCAACTGCTTCACTTAGCAACTAAGTTGCCAGTCTCAATAGTTATTGTTTAATGAAGGCTGTCTGTAAGAGACAGTGTGGAGCTGTTTTGCATTTTGTATCAGGTTAAAAATATACCATGCCTGGTGCAACTTCATAATGAAATAATGTCATACCAGCCTGTATATCTCATCTTTGCTTTATTTCATTGCATGCTACAATTGATGGACACTGCAGTTACGTTTACTACCATATGAAGTTACTATTAGATTTAGAGGAGAGGAGAAGAGTATACATACTTGTAGCGTAGTAGAGCAATTTAGATATGAGTTATAAGTAACCACTAGATGGCATCAAGTGGATACAGAAAATTATTTTAATTTTTCCATTTTTTGCAGCTCAAATATGCTAAGCCAGTTTTGTGGCATCCATAATTCTCAGAGCTTCCAGATTACGTTTTATGTCCATAAAAGTCCTTTTTTGAATGATCTTGACTCAGAAAACCTCTACAGGTTTAAATTTGTAGATCTGCCCCATTTTCAGTGCCAGGTGTGAGTTAGAATGAGTGAATTTGCCTGTTTGAAACGGACAGAAAAAAGTTATGAGCTGTTTGACTGTAGCAATTGCAGCTGTACCTGCATTTACAGCGGTAACAGGATCATTTTTATTTATGATTTCTTTTGATCTGTCACTTAAAACGCTACACATTTAGCTAGACAAAGATGCCAATAGTTGCTTTGGAAAGTGAGGTGGGTGGCTAGATAGATGGATGGATGGATGGATGGATGGATGGATGGATGGATGGATGGATGGATGGATGGATGGATGGATGGAT